TGGCGTAAGCGGAGTGTCCCAACACTGGTGTGGCATGAGCAACAACGGGAGCAGCGTGAGCGACCACGGGGGCAACCACAGAGTGGGAAACCACAGCGGGGCTAGTATGCACATCCACGCGAGACTGATGGGAGACAGCAGATGGAGCCACGGCGATAACGGGGGTGGCTTGAGCGATCACGGGGGCACTGTAGGCGAGGTGAGCCAAGGAACGTTTCTTCAGCAAGTGTCCCAATCCATGTCCGTGTCCGAGTGCGAGTCCGTGTCCGAATCCATGGATACCATGACCGAGGAGAGGTGCGGCGTAGGCGGAATGGGCCACAACCGGGGCGTGAGCGACCACAGCGGGGGCGGCGACCACGGAGTGTGCGAGGGGAGCGTAGTGTCCTTCCAAGGCCTTAGCTTGAAGATGGACGGCACGGGCGCCGATCACCTCAGCAGTGTCAAGCGGGCGACCGTGGGGGTCCAACACTATAGCGGGGTGGTGGACAGGTTGAGCCAGCGGCACCAGGGAACCGCAGGCAGCCGCCACCAAAGCGAACAACACCACCATCGATTTCATTATGAGCGTGGTCTGTGTTGTGAATCAACGATATACAAGATCACTTCGAACCGTTAATCGGCTGACTGATACTACTCACTTGACACGCACGCTTTTTATACTAAGAGCGTTGGAATTAACTTATTAACAAGGTTTAAATTATTTTAGAACCGACACTCAATGTCAAGAGAAAACATTTATACCTTCAGTAACTTTTGGGCGCTGATTAAATTTATTTCCATCCACTTTCCTTGGCGAGAGCATACTTTTTCAAATATCATTATTATTTTTCAATTTATTGTGAGTTTTATACAATTATGCCAGTGAAATGTTTACCGAAATTTCTTTCTATAAAATGAATAACTCATAGTCGCTGATGTCTCGGATTAGATTCCCGGTTGAAATTAACATAAAATCATTCTGACTATGTTTCGGCTCACCTAAACAAGTATAATTAATAACATTTATTTCAAAAATCATTATTATTTTTCAATTTAATGTTTTATACAATTATACCAGTGAAAAGTTTACCGGAATTTCTATCTATAAAATGATTAACTCATAGTCTCTGATATCTCGGATTAGATTCCCGGTTGAAATTAACATAAAATAATTCTGACGATGTTTCGGCTCACCTAAACAAGTATTATTAATAACATTTTACTTTCTGAACAGTAACAGCACAATACTCCATTTATTATACATCCTTACTTTATTCAAAGAATTATTTAAAAAATACAATCACGTAACAAACTCCTTTCTTAACCGACGCTAAAAGAGGGATGTTATAAGTTTAGCGTGTCTGTGTGTGTGTGTGTATCTCTCTGTCTGACTGTCGGTGGCATCATAGTTCCCGAACAGATGAAGCGATTTCAATTTAAAATCGCCTTAGGCGTTTAAAATTTATTTGAAAGTGGGGATGAATAACCTAATGTCCGCAAATATACTCAAGTGGAGTCTCAAATGAAAGCGCACTGAAAAAGAATATTGATGACTTAATCGAGAGAGTTCTTGGTTTCGGTTGATGAGAAAAATATTATATCAAACTAATATAAACATTAAGTAACAATTATTATTCTTAATGAAAAATGCCTGGCACTCTGAGATGGGACTTGAAACCGTGACCTTTCGCCATCCGGGCAACTGCTCTAACCACTGAGCTATCCAGCACCTAACAGGACTGACGAATTTTTCAAAACACTTGTTACTTTTTCGCTACTACAGTGCGTATTTTCATCAATGTCCAGGTAATCTACCCAAACAGCCGAAAGAAATATTTTTACAAATATTTAAACTTCGATAAAAATGAAAATTTGCTCTAATTATTATATTTGATTTTCCAATGCAATACTGAAAAATATACTTAAAAAAAAATCTACTATATCATGAAAAATGCTAAAAAATACCACTTTGTCCCTGGCATTTTGAGATAGGACTCTAACCCATGACCATTCGCAATCCGCTAATTATCAATTAACGCTGTCGTGTGGCTTCTTTTTAACACATTTTAATCATAGGCCCCTAGGATAATTAATTTTAAGTGGGTAGAGATAGTATTACAAGTATATTTATTTGTAAGTTTTGTTTTTATATACAATTAGCTTTCCGCCAGCGGTTTCGCCCGCGTGGTGTCTAGGGAACTGTTTATTTAGATATGGATTTATATCATGACATTGATATACAATGCTTACTATGGTGACGTTTTACTTCCCCTTACAAACTTCCACTCCCATTTTCATCCTTTTATTTGCTGTTTTTTGGGTTAAAATATATATTCGCCTATATTCACCGCATATGATGTAGCTTCCCGGTGATAGAATTTTTAGAATCGGTCTATTAGTTTTATAGCCTATTCGATGCAAACAAACAAATCTTTCCTCTTAATAATATTAGTAATGATATAGTACGGCAGTTGTTTGTATGGGAAAAGAATATTGTTTTTGTAATTATTTTCCTAATATTTTCTCTTCATAAGAAGAAGAGAAAATATTTTAAAAAATATGAAAATAAAATATGACCTCAGACTGCATCAAACAAAACAAAAAAGAAATCAGCCAAATTGGTGTAGTTGTTCTCGAGTTTTACGCTTAGCAAAACATTTAGCGAATCATTTTTATTTATATAGATAGATATTGCGTTAGGGTCGCGTTGTGCACTTCGGTACGCAAGCGCACGCATGCGTGAAGCGTGATAAGCCCTTGACTATGTGTGTTCATTTTTTCATATTTTATTTTGAATATGTTGTTTCAATTTTACATTTTAATTGGAACATTTAATTATTATGCAATTTACTAAATTTTGAAGTATTCAATTATACATAGTTTTACCATGATCTTGCCATATATATTGTTATAGAGAAAATCAACGTGCTTTTTATTGAAAGTAACATTTATTACTATCACAGTGTATTTGTTTGATAGATTAATGTAAAGCCATTATGAATATATGTAGCTCATTCGAAGTGGTTTCCATTGGCTGTAATACAGTCCTTTTAACTTTGACACTATCAATAACACACACACTCTTTCCATGCAAAAATTCTGCCAATTGTATATTGTTTTAGGAATTCTTAATTATCATGGCGTATAGAGCAAGCCTTACTCTCTAAAGATGACCATAAACCATAATCCAAAATAATGAAGATCTGGGCTAGATATCAGCCAGATTTGAACTCTGATGAAGTCCGAAACGTTCTTTTCTAACCAAGATTGAGCGGATCGAGCTTTATGACCTAACGCCGAGTCTTGCTGAAATGACCATTCTGTGTTATTGATCATGGTGTTGTTAAGGGGCTTAACTACCTTCTCGAGAATGGTATCTTGATACACTTGTGCCGATGTTTTGATGCCTTTTTCACAAAAATATGGCTCGGTCACTCCTTCATAGCTAAAACCCCACCCAACCATCACTGAAGTCGGTTATTGCCCACGTTATACTCTGTTGACTAATCGTTAAGTTTTTTTAGAGCTTAGAGCATAAATAATATAATTTTGTTTGTTAAAATATTGCTCCGTTGTAAAAACTTTCTCGTCTCTAAACAATTTTTTTCTGTTATCTCCCTTTGCGTGCCACTTTAGTTGTTTTCATTTTACCACCCTATTATTTCTTAAATTATCTATTAAGAAGTAACCAGTGCAACGTAAAGAGACCATTGACATGAACTGATGGATGCAAATCATCGGCACCTGATGCAACCCTGACAAAGATCCTCAGACACCAGAAGGACACTTCTAATGGGTTTTCCCGTACAGGTAAAAGTCAAAATATTCTTTATTCCAATATATATAAACTTTATATATAAACAATATATAAACTTCTTAAAAGTTCTTTTATATTGATTAATTTTTTTACATACCACCCGTTCAGTGGTATTTTCTGTATACCGTTATTTTCTGTATATTCAAAATTACAGCCCAGTAGTTTCGGAGATCCGAGAAATGGAACGGTAAATATTTCGTGTATTTCCTTCAATAACTTGAAAAACTACTTATCTTTAATTGATTATATTATTAAGTTCTTATTAAGACTTTTCATATGTCATATAATAAACTATAGCAATATACTAATTATCTATATTACATAGTAATATGTTTTAGGCCGCAGGCGCTATGACGGGGTGGTGACCGCAGTGAAACAACACGCGGCTCAAGGGACTTGATAGAAATGCCAAAGCCGCCACTGCCACCACGCCCGCGTGTCTCCAGTTTGGATGTGACGCTTTTAAAGTGTTTTTATGCACCAAAAACCACCCAAGCTTCTCTCCACTATGATCTTTATTGGCCGTGGCCTGGTAAAGCTCGCGTTCAACCGATAAAGCTGCAATTTTTTATATTTCTGTAAATGTGCTATAAAGTTTATCCTATCTCTTTGAATAATAGTTATGCGTATCGTATGATTATTTTGTTTTCAAGACGAAAGTGGAACGCTGCGGAGAAACAGAATGAATAATGTTCATACAACAGAAGGAATACGTTTCCCTTAGCCCTTGCCTGTTAAATCAATCTCCTTCCGAATTATACTTCTGTAATCAATCAAAATTTTAATTTCTAGCCGAGGTAGGATTGAGATTTTTTTCAATAATGGGTAGTAATTGTTTGTGGATAACTGATTCAAACGATTTTGCGACACTATTTTGATCAACAGGACATTATTTGAGCCTTTACAAGGAAACGATATATTATATTTTTAACCTACGTATCTGTCTAATTGAGCTATATGATTTAATTTCATGTTTTTTTTTCAGACTATATCAGGTGTTAAGTTGTTCACAATTATAACAATAAAAATATAAATAATTACCCTAATGATATTTTAAACATAATTTTTTAAAATTACAAACTTAAGTCGTTGAAGGTTCTTGGAATATATCCATAATTATTAGACTGTGAAATACGTGAATGAATTAATATGACTGGATCAAATATTTAACGAACAAAATAAATAATGAAAACACACAAATGATATATTAAATTGTATAATTGTCTATTCATTTCAATAAAGTATATCAAAACGAAAACTACAAAGTTTCGTTGATTCTAATTTTCGCTTTTATGGTGACTGCAGGGTAGTGCTAAGAGCTATACCTGTAGCTCTTAAAGTAAAGTAATCATAATTACTTTTAGTTAACTAACGCTGGAGCAAACAGCCTCCTCGCTGCAATCAAGTTGATGGGAGTCAGCGAACGCCTCTTTCCCAGATGTCCACGAGCTTATTTTTCATTTTTAAAATACAATAATCTAATTTTCTTTAACAATACTTATTACCAGGCATGATGGGTCAAAGGGACGGAATGATGGTAGGAATGCGCAAGAGGTGCGGCTACAATGGAATGTGACACCACAGCAGGGCTGGCACGTACATCCACACGAGATTGATGGGACACAGCAGATGGAGCTACAGCGACTATCGGGGCAGCATGAGCGACCACGGGAGCAGCATGAGCGACCACAGGGGCGACGACAGAGTGAGAGACAACAGCGGGGCTAGAGTGAACATCTACGCGGGACTGGTGAGACACAGCTGAAGGAGCCACAGCAAGAACAGGGGCGGCGTGAGCGACCAAAGGAGCGCTGTAGGCGAGGTGACCCAAAGAACGTTTCTTCAACAGATGTCCGAGTCCGTGTCCAAATCCATGGATACCGTGACCGAGGAGGGGTGTGGCGTAAGCGGAGTGTCCCAACACAGGTGTGGCGTGAGCAACAACGGGAGCAGCGTGAGCGACCACGGGGGCGACCACAGAGTGGGAGACCACAGCGGGGCTAGTATGGACATCCACGCGAGACTGATGAGAGACGGCAGATGGAGCCACGGCGATAACGGGGGTGGCATGAGCGATCACGGGGGCACTGTAGGCGAGGTGAGCCAAGGAACGTTTCTTCAGCAAGTGTCCAAATCCATGTCCGTGTCCGAGTGCGAGTCCGTGTCCGAATCCATGGATACCATGACCGAGGAGAGGTGCGGCGTAGGCGGAATGAGCCACAACTGGGGCAGCGTGAGCAACCACAGCGGGGGCGGCGACCACGGAGTGTGCGAGGGGAGCGTAGTGTCCTTCCAAGGCCTTAGCTTGAAGATGGACGGCACGGGCGCCGATCACCTCAGCAGTGTCAAGCGGGCGACCGTGGGGGTCCAACACTATAGCGGGGTGGTGGGCAGGTTGAGCCAGCGGCACCAGGGAACCGCAGGCAGCCGCCACCAGAGCGAACAACACCACCATCGATTTCATTATGAGCGTGGTCTGTGTTGTGAATCAACGATATACAAGATCACTTCGAACCGTTAATCGGCTGACTGATACTACTTACTTGACACGCACGCTTTTTATACTGAGAGCGTTGAAATAATTAGCTTATTATATTTGTGAACCAACATGCAATGTCAAGTGTCAAGTGAAAGTAAAGGACCTTGTATCTTGAGTAGCTTTTGCGCACTGATTAAGCTTATTTCCGTCCTTAGCGATAAACCTATTTTCTTTATGAGGAAGTATTGAAGAAAAAAAGAAAGCACTAAAAAGCACCTCACTAGATGGCGACTTTAGCATAAACTGATTTTTGCAGGAAACAAATGGACCAAAGATAGTCATTTCCGTTCCTTTTAACTAACATATTAAAAAACTTAAATTTGCAAAGTTCAAAACTTAGATATTAATACAAATACGAAAAAGCACAAATAGAATATGAGTTTTTAATTGAGTTTTGAAAATTAATTTACTTTTATACATGACAGAAAACCGAAAGGGTTGTCATGGAGAAATTAATAAAGTACCATAGCGACAGTTAGTTTGATTTCGGGAACTAAAGTTTTTTTTTTAAATACTTCCTGATGACCTTTTTTCAAAAATTAACTATGAATTTTGAAAGAAATTAATAGATTTATGCGACTCCGAGTCTATAAAATTGCTAAATTGCCTTAGTTTAGATTACAGTTATAACGAGTACCAGTATACCATAGTAATATGATCTCAATTTTTTCCATGGAATATGCGTTAGTCATATTACAGATTATTACTTATGACATATTACAGATAAACTAGAAATAAGAGAATAAGGATAGAAGTACCAAGTGCGCCTATTTTTGTTAACGCTGCTTAAATGGTCAAAGGTGTACGAATGCTTTCTAAAGAAAAGTTAGAGAGCTTTATCCATTAAAAAAAATGTCGTCGTAGGCATATACGAGTATTTATGTGTTAGCATAAACTAAGGTTTGTGCTAACCCTAAGGGGTTTTGCCAAAAAATATAAAAAAAACGTACAGAAATATCTAAATTATTTGGCCATCTCAAGACGGTTATTTGTGTAGGTGATATTATGTCCTTATCGAAATAAATATGCTTATCGTCAAAGAAATTTAATGTACATAAACATTGTCTCATACACCAAATTAATTGCATGAATTGTTTAGATTTTATGTTTTGAGAGAAGAATATTACTTATATTGCCAAGTTTCTAAATGCTATTGTATATTTTACGATTTACCAAATTTTTTTTTATATATATACGGCAGCACATAAAGAACAATGGCCATCTGCCTAACATGCTTGGACTAGTAAAATCGAATAAAACGTAACTTGATGAAACATATGTTATTTTGTTTGCCTATGCAACTAGAACAAAGAAAGACATTAAATATATTTTTAAAAGCTGGGAGTATCGAGTAATTGTGTAATATGTTTTTGAGGTTATGTCGTATTATTTAAACTGTAACATTTTGAGTTAGAGGTATTACATTTGAAATATGTAAAGCACACGTCAGATAAAGCCTAATCGTAGTCCTAGAAGTGTATACTTTCACATAATACTTCAAACTTGCTCCATATCTGATAAATTATTTTTATTGACTGTAAGAAATAAAATAATTTTATGTTAACCAATGACCATCAAAAAATATTAGTAGAATTTTTAAGATTGCTCTTATATAAAGTAGTACTGAAAATACTAATTTCAAAAGGATATAGCAAAACAACATGTTGATTTATCTTTTCTCTATTACAACTCTAATGAATACCTCATCACGGAATGCTGCAGGAGCAGCTACATTCTATTCGTGTCTGGCCCATCCAAGATACCAAACTATGGTCATTATATGAGCACAGCATCCCAGTGTAGATGGACCAATAAGACAATTACAGCAGTGTTCTCTTGTGCAATCTAACCCGGATGTGTCATTATTCTTTAAAATTTACACATAATATTGTTTCCTCCCAATGTCTCGACTTAATTCTACTCCTTATAATTAGGCCTTTATTTATATTTAAGTCTAATTCTAATAAATCCAGAAAATCCGGTATTTTTCGCCCATGGAACCTAGTATGCTCCCCATAATACAGAAGATAATACAAAATCACCGCCAAAGTTACAAAACGGTCTGCGTAGAAACACGTCTACACATATTTGTCTAAAAAAGGGAGGTCGCAATCGATTGAATACTGTAATATCGATTCTTATGAATAATCATTTGTTTTTAATTTCATTATAAATAAACTATTTTCCTCTAAGTAACATCTAATTATTAGTTATCTAATCTAAGTTTTATAATTTTAACGGATTTATATAGTTAGTAAATAATATAACATTTGTAACAAATTCGATTAGCCAAAAATAAAATCGATCTTGTTCTTTGAAAAGAGAGGGACTTCAGAGAGGGAATGACATTTTGAATAAGATGCGTTCAAAAATAACATAATTTAAACTGCGTTCTAAAAAATAAAGACATATTTTAGAGAGGATTATCTTTCTTTTCCCAGCTTTTAAAAATAAATTGTTGGTACATAATAATTACATTCAACTTATACTACATTTTGGTGATAGTTCCATCTTGGTACAAGAACTTTTTTTTTCGTAGTCCATTTTGACCATTGTTCTTTATACAGATTGTAGCAATGATATAATTGTTTTACTATTAAAAATAATTAAAGAAACGATGGTTAAGAAAGCGTTTAGTAACAAGAAACTGGTGTTTCAAGGCGATATTGTCGTCGTACCCAAGAAACTTATCTGAAGTAGTGTAAGTAGCTAGAGAAGGATGAAAATATTAGCTGCATGGAACTACAATCGATGGAATAAGTGCTGGGATTCATCAACGAAAAGAGACGGCTGCAAGGGCTTTCGTATAACTACATTGGTTGACAATTTTATATAAACAATTGCATTAAATACGTACTGTTAGATCACATATATATAATATATTCAATATAGCGAGTTGAATATAAAGCAATTGAACGTTCATTTTTGATTAAATGCAATATATGAATCAAATCGAAGCCAATATCGTCACATTTAAAGGATATATTGTTTTAAACAAAAGTGCAATATGAATACAAGAAAATCAAATTGAAAACTTATTCTTATTTTTTAAAGTTGGTTTAAAATTAACGACTGTAAATACTAATACCACGGGCAAAATGGCCACAACTTTGCGTTGTGTTAAAATATTGAAAGTAACCTAGTCTTAAAATATTTGTTATACATCTTCACGACTTGCAAATATTTCATTGATACTCTACTGTGTAAATACCATTAGAAAATTAAAATTTAATATGACATACATTGCTCAGATTCCAAGATAAATAAGTAACTAAAGTCTCATATTATGGAGTATATGAGGACTCTAGGTCAGCACCCGAACACGAGATAATCTACGAAATTCAATTTTTCCATGCCTTCAACCGTCTGGAAATCGAACTCGAATCTCGAAGATGGGGACACCTTGATATCTGTATGCGAACCACTCGGTTACAGTGGTCGTCGAATTTACCGATTGTCAATTTTATCATTCTTGAATACGGCGATGAGGACACGACTGTTAAATAAAATCACAAGGTGAATAATAAGTTTTTCAGATATAATTATGTCTTTTTTTACATTTCGTTTTAAGTCTTATCGGATCCTTAACACTGTAATCACCACGCGTACACGGAGGGTGCCCAAGCAGAGCGAGCCTCAACAACAGCGGGGGCAGCTACTACATGCTGAGACACGACGGCTGGGGACGACTGGACATCCACTCGCGACTGATGAGACACCGCAGAAGCACCAGTGTACACGGTAGCTGCTGGGTAAACAGCACGAGCTTCAACAACAGGCTCAGCTACAACAGTTTGAGCTACTACCGGAGATGTGACTACCGCGGGGGACGAGCGTACATCAACACGGGATTGGTGAGAAACGGCACCGGCTGCGTAAACGGTTGGCGCATACACAGAGCGAGCTTCTACCACAGCGGGAGCAACAACAGGGGCAGTGGCGACGACAGCAGGAGATGATTGGACATCTACACGTGATTGATGCGAGACAGCTGACCCACCGACGTATGTTGTGGCTGCTGGAGTGTACACGGCACGCGCTTCGACCACAGCAGGCTCAGCCACCACAGTCTCGGCTACAACTGGCGCAGCCGCCACCACTGGCGCGGCAGCTACTACGGCTGGCGAGGTGCGTACATCCACTCTAGACTGGTGAGACACCGCCGCTGGCACTGTGTAACCAACCAAACTGGGCTTCGCCGTCGCAGCGGCGACCACAGCGAACAACACCACCAACGATTTCATAACGAACGAGGTCTGTGTTGGGATCCGAAAGAAGATCACTTCGCACCGAACACGGTCGACTGATGCCAAAAACTAATACGTCCTGCTATTTATACACGATATGATAATATCCATCAAGATGCTGGGCGTCTAGGAGTACAAAAGTGATCGTCCTTGCGCGTTGGAGCCGAAATCGATATCTAAAGGTCGTAATATCTCGTTACAGCAGCTAACTAAAATTACGGTAGTGCTAATATACAGTTGACATTTGACAATGGCATTAACTGACGACATAGTAGGCGGACTACGCAAAAGCAGATTATGTGTTGTGATCTAAAAGCACTCACCAAGGGCGCTCAACGTCCGCTTTATATCCGCAATAAATCTGCGACAGTATTAAAACCATACTTGACAGCTTTATATGTCGCAATTACGTTTTATTAAAACTAATTAACATATCAAGTTTGAGAATTTTTGTCAAGAAACAATATCCGTATAGTGAATCATTAAATCAGATAATTCGAGATGAGTATAGTTAAAAAAGATCATCCACCAGAGTCTCATTATCTAAAAATGTTGTGTAGTTATTTCGCTTGATTATAGATTATGATTGAATGTCATAGTATGTAAATTGTCACTAATTAATGTATCTTTATTAAAGACTTGCACAACGCCAGGTAAGTAAACATTATTATTATTATATACAGAAACAAACCATATTCACGTCTTTCTCTCTTTTTTTGCGTCATCTATAAACACTATGCTACTTAGAATACCTACAGTACTCGGAGTTTAATTAACCATGAAATTTAAGCACATTTTTACTAAGATCTTTATTATTTGAAGATATTTTATTATTAATTTTTGAAGATACACAATCTCATTAACAGTTTCATTATCATCTATAAGATTTCAGTTATGTTCTTGAGACGCCAATAAGAACTTTATCACAAAGAAAAAGTTATAAGTACATAAATAATACAAAATTAAATATTATTTAGAGATTTCTTGTGAATGCTAAATTTATTTATTTAATGATAGTAACTTCCTATTAGAGTTTACTTTATCTTTTACCAGCTTTCCGCCAGCGGCTTCGCCCGCGTGGTCTTGTATTATACATAAAAACCTTCCTTTTGAATCACCGTATCGAGGATAAAAAACCGCATCAAAATTCGTTGCGTAGTTTTAAAGATTTAAGCATACAAAGGGATATAGGGACAGAGAGAGCGACATTGTTTTATACTATTTAGTGATACAACGTTAATTATGAACTGTTTCCGTCATTATGCTCCGACGATAAGACGTACCCGGTTTGTCATTATCCCTACACCCCACGTAGGTATTACAAAATTCCTCTGTTTACTATGTGGATGGACTGACAGACAATTATATAAATACTCCTTTTAAAGTCTTATAAAAAAAGACTCGTAAAATATTAGGTCGACCAATTTACACAACCCTAATGTTTTTCAGAATATACACAAAAAGTTTTTTCAGGAAGCTAGGCGTCTATTGTTGAAAACAGTATAAAATACTTTGGATTTATTTTTCAGTTTATCATGCTCAGACAAATACCGAGGGACATAACTTATTTACAAGTTTCCATGATTTGAAGTTTGATGACACACATGGGTAAGATTAGGGTTGTGAAAGGGCAATGCACTTTGAAAAAACGATTTGCGGTGTTTATGCTCTCTCAATATGAATATGATTATGAAAATATTATATTCTTGTGTACTGGGACTTAAATTAGAAGACTAACAGCTAGTTGCACAAACGTCCATTAAAAATTTCATTAATTTAAAGTGACATTATCCATACGAATTTGACATTCATTAGAGCTTAAAGGCGTCATTAAACCTTAATGAACGTCTGCGCAACTGACCGTTAGTTTTATTCAGTGTAATCAGTATTCATTAAATTGTTCAAAAACTAAAACTAATAGACAAGAATTAGCTAGAAATTGACGACGCCATCTAGGAGCAAAGCAGTGAATTTCAATACATCATAGTACCATTAGTGCTACAGAGCTTAAAGCAAATCTTTCAAAGAATACTTTTGAAGATACTCTATCATTGTTTTTATAGATGGCACTACTGTGTCCATCATGTAAAATCTTATATCGAGTTTCTATGATTTTTGGAAATATTTACTATTGTTTTATTTTTTTTATGTTACATGGCACTGTTCCATTATAGAAATATAATTTATCACTTATAACCCAATTGTTTCTTCTGCTGCCATCTAAGTAAAATAGGTGACACCATCAAGTTACTACTTACAATTTCCGTAGTCTAGTTTTCTAAAGCAAGAAGTCGTTACTTGTTAAAATAGCCTTACTGTGCCTTAAACGGTAGTCAAAAAACACGTCGTTGCAATATTACCGGTAACGATTTTCTGTTTGAATTACTAATAAAACATAATAGTCATTTGCTCGGTATCTAACATATCATGAAAGTAGTTTTTGTTAATATTGTTTTCTTCGATTATTTTAGAAACAATTTCCAAAAGTAAAATCTTGTAGTACTTATACTATTGGAGAATCTTTCCAGTCATGAATGTACTGAACTGTTTTTTTACTTATATCTTATAGGTATATAGAAGATATAAATAAAAATATTATTAATCCCCTGCACATGTATTGTGCTTATATGGATAATGACTTAGTGCTTTCTCCAAGCAGGATGTGACGTCACGGTTCGCCGCTGCGCACGATACGGTTTCCAATTTCCATTGTTTTTTCTTATTCAAGTACATATATAGGGAACGTTGCATTTCATAACGGTCTAAGTAAATCATTAAGAATAGCCTTAAGTATATCTTCTTTATTATGCACAATCAATCTTGCTTCCAGATGCCTATATTGATAGATTATATGCCTATAATATTTCTAAATAGTTATGATTTTTATAAATGAGCATATTTTATGAACGATCAGTTCATCATAGATCTAAATTATCCATACCTTTTTTACTACCTCTCACCACCCATTGGCAGGGGTTGTTCTGTATTCATCCTATGACGTCTCATCCCATTTCTTTACTAAATATTTTTTCCGTTTTTTTATGTATACAATAGAAATACTTATTATGTAATGACCTTAATCAAATTAATTAAATTGTTGGGGGTTGAGTACAGAACATAATTAGGATGAGTAAGGAAAAAATAATGCGTACCTACCTAATTATTATTCTATTTTACTGACTTATTCCAACCCGTTTCAATGTATCGTAACAGGACTCAATTTTATGTTGTGTAAATTAAAGAAAAAAATAAAAACAATTGTCTCGTGTCTGCATATTTTTTATACCTTCCTTGTTTCAGTTTTCCATATTAAATAGCTTTATACACTTCTGGTTTGAGGGAAAAACTTTCCTATTAAAAAACTGTTGATCAACTCCTGAGGATAGTGGTCTAAAAAACTAAAATAAAATTTAAAACAAACAGATGAAGTTTTTTTGAATTTGTTAATGCCCCTTCATTAACAAATTCAAAAAAACTTCATCTGTAGTCAAGAGGTTAAAACTGTGATTAAAATGGTTTTTATTCATTGAGGTATAATGTATGCAATGACCTTTTTTACAACTTCGGGGAAATGTGTTTCTAATGAGACACTGGTTGAACTTGTGATCTTGATGCGCACACGCAACGAAGTCGTAACATAGGCAGAGAGCACATTGAACCACGATCAACTCTGGCAATAAGAGCGATACAAATTCTTAGAGAAGAAAGCACATATTTTTATTGGGAGCTATAAAAACACTACATAATTTGCATGTTTATCAGTTAAAATTTATTAAGCAATGATCTTTAGTAATATTATAAAGAGGAAAGATTTGATTATACGAAACTACAAGATCCATTTTTAGAATTCGTTTACCCACGGAAAGCTAAAGCGCCACCATGATGAATATAATTTACCCGGTCGAAGTTTCGACAAAACAGCTATTTAGTTAATATCGAAAAGTACTCGAATTCTGGAAAAATATTTTATAAAACAATTGTCTGTCATAATCCGTTTTCCTAGTATAACATAAAGAATCTTTATCAAAATTATGCAATTTGCCTTGAAATTAAATGATCGTTTGAGTAGTAAGTGACAATAAAAACGGTGGGTTTAACCCGCAACCCAAGAAAGGCTGAGCAGAGTCCTTGGCTGGACTCGCAGGGAAGCCCAGTTGCGTAGCTGCACAATTGACAAGAAGTAGGCCATCAAATAAATCGGCACAAAAGTAGATTGGAGTCTCTTTACAATTTTTTTTTTAGATATGAATATAGCATGATATTAGTCTTTTTAATCCTACTTTAATTTTTAAATTAAAATTACACATAAGTTAAATGTAACTAATATAAATAATTTTATATTCCAAAAATATATTACACTCCTACAGACCATATGCAATATTCAGCGTCTTTTGCTTAGCAGTTTATTGTGATTGTACTATGTATTTTATTTTAACATGCCAATAATTTTACAATTATATGCATGCATATGTAAAAACATCTTAATACCTCTAACGTTTGAGTTGTTCAATCTTGTTGTAAAATACTATATTTAGTTCAAGCATTATATAAAAAAACGACAACACACCGCTTTATACTATTACGGAAATAGCATTTTTTGTGTCAGTGAAAGTGATATTTAAAATATTATTTATGCAAGCTTACACCAGCCACATCCTTCACTTTAATAATATAGACAGTTTTTAAGCTACTCCATAGAGCCGTTGTTCTACATAACTTAGCCTTCGTGCTATGCAATAAGGCGCAATTCGGAAAACCCGCGTCTTGCAATAGTTGCCAGCAAATTGACCGAAATAACAAAGCAATAACACACAATATGATACTAAGTTAGACAATTCCAATATTTTATTACTAATAGACTTTATATAACCTATACCTACATTTACCCTTTATGCAATACAGCAACTGTCTTAGATAATTGGATTACTTGGTAAAGCAACTAAATATATGTACCTTTATAAAAAAATTATAAATTGACAATTTTCAGTATTTTAACTACTTATTGAATAATTCAAGAATTATTAAAATATAAAACAGACTCACGCACGAAGGGTTCCGTGC